CCTGGGCTTCACCAGCCAGGTGCAAGAATTTGGTCACAAATGTGTGGTAGTCATCTCCATTTCTCATTATTAGATGTCGGTATTCTGTCTTTGCATTCTCAAGCTTATTAACATCCTCATATATCCCTTGTAGATACTTGAACACTTCCTCAGCTGTTTCAAACTTCTCAGGATGGTCTTCCTTCATCGTTGGGGCTAAGTGTCTGGCAGCTTCACCATCGGTTCGGTTTTTGATATAGGCAATACGGCTTTCTTCAGTTGGAAAGTGGTCGGTGTTGACAGCTAGCTTGCGTTTCATTCGGGAGAGCCAGTTTTCAAATATCGGTTCTTTCCCATTGGTGAGGTGCTTAGGGTCATCAAGTTTGGCTGATCGTTGCGTCTGTTGGTTGTTCACCAGTCTGATTTGAGAGGCTAAAGAGTTCACCGTCTGCTGTAAAGCATTTCGTTCCTCTATCAGGCTGTCAACTTGCTGGTCAAGTTCACCCACTTGCTTTCTCTGCTCATCTCGTTCTGCTCTAACCCTTCCTAGGGTGCCTCTTGCCTCATCCATAAGGCCAGCAATTTCTCGATATACCCGCTCTGGGTCTTCTTCAATTGCCTCAAAGAATTGTTCCTTGAATATGGGATCCCTTGGCCCCATATTCTTCCCAGTCAGGGTCATCATATCCCAGTCTGATCTCCATAGACTGTCAGATTCTCTAACTGCTTCCGACATCTTGGTGGTCTTCTCAGAGATTCAAAGCAAAAGTAAATAAGATTCCTTCAAGAGGTTTTTCACCTAAAAACCTGCTTTAAAAAGGGCAAGAAAAAGTAATTGATCTTAGTATTATGTCACAGCTTCACTCTAGGCGCAGGTAAACAGGTGTTTGATTGCCAACTAGGTAAGCTAATTCGACGAAATACTAAGATGCTCTATGAAACGGGGACTGGGGAAGCCTCTCCTTATATACCCCTTTCCACTAGCGGTTGCTATGCCGTTGCTAGGCAGTTTCTGTGTATTTGCTTGCTGGGCAGTCTCCTTAGGGCGGCTGCTAGGCCATTGCTATTACCCTTTTCAGTCAATGCCAGTTTCCGTAGCCAGTAGCCATACACCGTCATAGCGCAGTAGCCAGCGCCGTAGCCAGCGCCATCACAAGGTTGACATGACTGTAGGGCCATTGGATGCACTTGTATTCATGTTGACATTGTTTTTTGCACACGTCAACTCATCATTCATCTTTTTATGAATGTCATCATTCTCAAGCGCTTTCTTCAACTCGGCTTCGCGGTCTTTATCAAATTGAAAGTTCACGGGCCGGTGGGATGGGTTGAAATACCAGCAGTGAGCAGTTGAGTGCCCATCTTGGCCGCAAGGACATCCCTTCTGTGTATTGTTATTTGAGGTCCGTGAACCTGAATTTTGGCCATTGAGCATAGTGAATGAAGATAGGTATTCATTTTTTACAATGCCGCTTCATTGATAATACCTTTGGAACATCATTACCAAGTTCTTCATGTCATACGCGTCCCACGTATCCATCTGCTCCAGGTGTATGTTCCACACGGCTACCAAGCTGGCGTCAATTCCCTTATTGGCCATGAGAAAATCCCAGCGGATCTGATATTGGCCTGAGATACCCATCTTCTTGAGGTCATCTTCAATTCCCATCCATTCATCAAGCCAAGCATTCAGGCTACGGCCACTGGATCCCTTGCAGAGTGTCTTGTAGCGCTCCTGTACAGTATGCCTACTGTCTTTTGTTGTTTGCGCTAGTCATTTATGGAGGAACTTGACAGTCTTATGAACATCTATTGTCATCCATCTTCAGTGGCGTTTTCAAGCAGCTTCGTATCCACTGTTTTGTAGAACACTGGCGGCGTAGGCCAGGTCAGGGCTAGTACAGACCATTGAATATATCAAACTCCCCATCCTTTGCTGATAGGCGTGGATCCCTGGTGGAGTTGCCTGTCCTTTGTACGGGAGCAGGCCTTCAAGGGGTAACGGCATCCGGTTGGTAGCCCGACTCTGGAGGTCGAATTTTGTGGTTATTTTGGTAAGATAGCTGTCCTACATTAACCAGAGATTGTTCTCTTTTCAGTCCCTGAGGATACAGATTCCCAAAAGCCAATTGAGTTCCCTCATATCTCGAAGTTCGTAAGTGGCGAGAAGTGCAGTTTGAAATCTTCAAACTGGGCCTTATCTTTTCGGTGGTAGAGAACGACGATATCGTCAACATAGCAGAAGACGGTAAGGTAATCATTTTTATATAGGCACGGTTCCTTTTGACTGGTTGTAGGCCTAGCTGGGCCAGGCGAGAGCTGAGTTCTATGTTCCATAGGAAGGGGGATTCTGGTAATCCGTATAGTGCCCGTTTAAGACGAAGATTGGAACCTGGCTATTCGTAGCCACGCGGCGGCTGTACTAGGACTGGTGTATCTAGGCGGGCATTAAGAAAGGCATTAACCGCGTCAAATTGGTGCGCCTCCAGGTCAAATGCCGCGGTGCGTGTCACTAGCATACGGAATATTTTGATCGCCAAGGTGGACGATCAAAAGAATGTCTCAGATGTTTCATTCCTCCAAAGATCGCCCCGGATGACTAATCTCGCTTTGTATTTGGTGAGATAGCCGTCTGTATTGAAATTGTAGGTAAATACCCACATAAGGGGTAGTGCTTTTTGATCTGGATCCTGGGCTATCTCATCCCAACTATTCTTCGTGAACATGGTGTTGTATTCAACATCTGCTGCAGCTAGCCAACCTTCCCGGTGGGGATGTCGAAGAATATCATACCAATGGCGTGGTTCCTTTGGTAGAGAATCACGGTGCATTGGGATATTCGGTAGGTTGACTGAGAAGTTCATTAACGGGGGGTTCCTGGCCTGAGATGGTTCGTAGTTTAGTCCTGCTGAGAACGCCGTGTAGAATCCAGGGCGTTTGTATGGGAATTCAAGACTCGGTGCGTAGATGTTTGCCTGCTCTGTATTTGGGCGTCTTTGACGTCATCCTGTCACTATGTTGGAAGTACTAATTTCGCTCAAAATTCCTGCGTTTTTGCAGATTTCGCACTTCGTGGACGTGGACGCACTTGGCTGATGATTTCCGTCATCGGTGGCCGCATTGGCCCGTGGAGTCTTCGTACGCTCGCAATCTTTGACCTTGCTCGTACGATTGGTAAATTGTTTCATAAGATCATCAATATCCATGTTTATGATCGGATCTTGGCCTGTCACATAGAAATCATCAAGGCGAGTCTTTACGAAGGCTCTCTGGTGGTTTCATAGACCATTGAAGAAGAGATCATGATAAAAATCGTTCGTACTATTGGCTAACTCCTTATGGCGTGCAACTAGGTAGCAAAATCTCCTCTGGTAGGTAAGATAATCATTATCTTTGACATAGAGGGTAGAAAGCTCCTTCATTATATTCATACGCTCTTCTGCTAAAGAGACAACGTATTTAGTGCTAATTTTCTGCCATACGGCAGCTGTGTTGTCTGGTTCCAATGCTCCAATCGTCGTCCGTACGGGTCCTAGCAGGGACTGCAACATTTGACGGTATAGGGCCTTTGTACGCATTATCCAACGTTCTTTTTCTAACGCGTCAGCGTCCTGAGGTGGTTTATGTTGGTTCTTCGTAAGAAAATGTTGGTGCCACCGATGACCTCCGCGTCCACAAGGATTCCTATCCTCCAAGATTGGTAGTTGGTCCCATCGAACGTAGTCACAGCTTTCGTATCCATCGAGGCCTGCACTTCTTTTTGATATTCACGTATGTCCTGTTTTAGGGTATACGCAGGGGTATTGTCATTGATTCGGGCATTCTCACGCGTAGCCATCATCTGCTGGCAAAACGCGAACAAATCAGCCGCAGTCATGGCGATCATTCCACTGGCATTAGGGGTAGGCATGGGAATAGAGGTCCCATCATTCGATTCATCGCGTTCCGGCGTTTTTCTCGTATCACGGCTTGAACTAGCTCTGCCAACGCGTATTCGATCTCTCCTTCGTCCGCTGAGCTGGGCTCTGGCACTTGGTCGAACTCTTCCTCGTACACGGGAGGGGAAACGAGCCTTGGGGCATAGAATGAGAACGTAAGGATCTCTTTCGTTCTGATTGAGGAGTAGGGGGTAATCTGCTCATCTGATCGTAAGAACAGAGTATCTTATGAAAAGAAAGAAGAAATGAAAGAGAAAATAAGAAAAAAGTGGTGTTTTGTTTTTGATTCGTCGAAGAACGCGATCGCTTTTTGCAACCAGACAATATTGCTGTGGGAATCTTCTGATTTTGTTGCAAAAAGAGCCTTCTTTTCTGGAATCTACATCGAACCCATCCAAAAAGCTATCAACGCAACGAAATCTTGAATAAAAATCGTGTTTTTATCTCAAAAACGTGCAATCCGGGCTCATAAACTGTGGGACGGTTAGTTCTCTGTTGTGGGAGGATAACTAATGTACGCCTATATCACGTGTGGTGGGGCGGATGTGTTGGAGCCGAGGCTTCCTATTATGGACTAGCGCACCGCACAGTAGCCTATAGCATCCCCGAGAGAGGCTAACCCAATACAACCCAACTTCAGATGTCCCACAGGATGTCCTGGACGATCAATGCCAGCAGACACTAATTACATCATAACGTAACCGACCACTCTGCTAATAGTTACATGTTCATCCCCTTGGATCCCATCCAATCCATGGCATCAGGCAGTTGTCTGTCGCCCTCCAATAGTTACATGTTTTTTATCCAATACATTCAAACTCACCATCCAGACCATAAATACTATTCCGCAAGTCAGTGGAAATATCCGATAGGGACAAGTGACAGTTGAAGCGCATTAGATGTCAACCTCTCTCGATCGTCTGATTCAGTACGACTCCCGGATTTCTGCTGCAGTTATTGGGAGCTTTGTGACCCCATAGGTCAGCATTATTCTTCTTTTTCGGTGAGATAACTTATATCATATTCTTCCATTTATCCGTATCACTTGCCCACATCATTAACTTCATTATGTCTGATGTCAGAATGGCGGATGCCTGCACCTTTAGACGCGTCGATACCCCTGTTGATCACCAAACAGACGAAGTCTTCAACATTCAGTCACAGGAACGGGCCAATCTCTTGTCTGAAATCAAGGACGCGATTCACTCTAATACTGTGAAGGCACCTCTGTGGGCATGTATGCAAGTATGTGACATCTCAAAGCTACGAGAACTTGTGACAGCCGCGCGAAACTCACCATCCATATTTTCTCTCTTTAATAACACTTGTTGATCTATTCCTTTGCGTTGGATGCAACATCCTCCTCTTGATCATGTATCATCAACACCCTCAAACCTTTCCTCCTCCGAAATTTATGCACTCTCGGACCAAAGGCATCGACGTGTAAAACCAAAACACTCGCGAAAGAACGCGATCGATATTCGTGTGCCATCACAAAAGGAGAGGTCTTTGAAGTGGCGCATATCTTCCCGCACTGCGTGATAAACAAGAAACCGTCCACCAATCTTGATGCTTCCATCCCTTCTTTTTGGAATTTACTCGATGGTCTTCTTTGAACCGGACCGGCTTCACCGATGGCGTGCAGAAATATTCAAAGACCCCTCAAACCCTGACAAGTCCACAGATGGCTGCCATAATATGATCTGTCTCAACCCTACAGCACACCATTTGTGGGCAAAAGGCATGTTTGCGCTGCGGCCGGTTTCCTTGTCCGACGATCGCAAGGAACTTGCTGTTCAGTTTTACTGGCAGCCCAGGCCATCCCATGGCCGCTTTGATTCTGTGAACATTCTTGAATCACCCGGTTCATTCCAGAGATCGTTAGAGTGGGGGCCAACGTACTCTCAATTGCCGCCGATGGCAATGCGACCTCTGCGGTCGCTATCAAGTCTGGTCATACCTTTGTCTTTTGAACTACCAATCCTAATACCCATCCTCTCCCAAGTTTCGAATTGCTTGACATGCAGAGGCACCTTCAGCGAATAGTTTCAATGTCCGGTTCTGCTGAAATCTATGATGAAGATAACGGCGATGACGATGGAGATCAGTTGGATGTTGGTATCATCCACAAGACCTTCTCGAACATCCTTGCATGGGTGTCTACACCGTTGTCTCACTCGGGGAGTGATGACGATTTCTCTCGTTGACCTGCTTCAATCAGCACATATCCTTTAAAGACCCTAGAGCGCCCAAGCAAAAATTTATTCTCATAAAGCACAGACTGCTGCGTTGAGTCGTTCTTCAGATGTATGCTCTGCAAAACTGCACTAGGATGCCTTGGCCCCCCCCCCCCCCTTTTTTTTAAACCCCTCTTTGATGCAGCACTAATCTCAGCTTATACCCTGCTATAAATACGTTGTTAAACAACACCTAATGGGATAATCGTATGACATTGCCCTGTGCTTCGCAACAATCTATTAATGTAGCCGCTAACGCCATTGCTTCATCCCCAGCCTATTCGTATCATACCATAGTTCCAGTCTGGGACAGTCAGACTTCGTTCAGGATTATTGTGCATTAAGATTAGGTCTTACAACCAATGATCAATGACCAATGGCCAATGACTAAGCATTAAAATTTTTTCGCTCGTGACACGACTCCAAGCCCTCTATAGGCCTCCCGCCGTCTGCCCGACCGTGCACTCTCAGTCCTCCCGCACCTCCATCAGAACTGCAAGATCAAATTTTTAAGTGCCTCCATCTTTTTAGCATTTGCATCCGCTTCGAATTCTCTGCCGCTCATATTTCATTGTAAGTCTTGCCTGGTGCTCATTCTGGTGATGTTTCCGTGTATTCTACATCTACGTAATCGAGGTGCCAGAGGCCAGAGGCACCACGCAGAACGCAGTACGATCCGACGTTATCTAGGTTATCGATTCAGCGGTGGATTCTGCTGCGATTCAGAGCGTGTTGAAGGCGTTGAATTAACTTTTCTTATTTGAAGCCTGAAGACATGCTAAAATTCAGATTGCCTCTTAGCTTGCTCAACTAGATAAATGAACTTTACCGCTCTCTCAGTGAGCATAGCATCACACTTAAACCCTTTTAAGGAATGACACAGTGCCTGAGTCGATCTCGTAGTGTGAAGGTTGTATATTTCGAGGCAGACGAATGATTTCGAAACAGCTCATGTGACTGGTAAGCCTGATATGGTGGCTGTGGCGCAACATATGAGTAAAGTTGAGATGGTTGCCGCATATGTAGTACGTGCAAACCCTGCAGAGTTGGTTGTACGGAATAATAATGTAATTTCCCTGGTACTATTCAGGGTCATGAGCAGCTGATAACAGGTTGTTGTCTTTGAGGGGAGATGTTGTGACAAACACCGCGAACAAAATTGTCGCACTACAAAAGAACATTGTGAATTCCATTGCCGCAAGCTGTCCCGACGTGGCAAGAAATGACCTGGTAGACCAGCAGTGAAGCCGCCGCGAGGCGAACAGAACTCATGGCGAGAAGTGGGTGCAGCGACGCAGCGACTGTGAGAGTAATTTAGTATCCGTTCAAGGGAAAGAAGAAAAGAGAGGCCGCCGTCGAACTTCACTTCGATTTTCAGGTACTTTTGATGGCAGCGAAGAGCATCTCCAGCAATGAGATAGCACTCGCTAAGATCAAGACACCGTTCCACGCCACAGCTAAACCGGACAACTGCATACGTTGTCTGGAGGAGCTGGTACGTCGGGAGAATTGGCTTGGTAGATAGATATCAATGCTATGATGCAGAACCCAATCAAGAATCAAGGAAGAAACTGTGAAGCTTGCCAATAGTGAACCATGAAGAATAGCGAAAACTCTTGTAGACTTGTTGACAGCCTGATGAAGCCGCTTGCACGTTGATACCATGACTGCGCCCGCCAGCAGGGCAGTTGCTAATAACACCCAAAGAGCTGGAAACGAGGCCAAGCTTAACATATAGAGCGGCATTCGTTATAGCACATTCATTGAGGACAAGGAAAAGAACGTCTCATGCATGTATCCTACAGGTACAGTATTTTAAATCAACTAGGGACGTCCTTCAGCGAAGTCAAGAGGGGAGCTTTACAAAGTAGTCAAAAGATGAGCATTATAAAAAACCACCAACCAGCTGCTTGCCTTGCGCATGCTTATAAACAGCCTGCCTGTTGAAGCAGCACAGAGCCAACGACAAGGTGTGTAGTAATGTAATATGCGAGAAACATCTTGTCCTGTGTTGTTCCAAAGGTGTTATTCCAAGAGCACCGGGAGGGCGATGAGAACCTGTCTCTGCCACCCTTCCACAATCTCTTCAGGGTGCCACTGTGGTTGATTCTGTTAAGGGCGTGGGGAGAACGACTGGTCAAAGTGTGAATGGAACAGTTAAGGGAAACAAAACCCATTCAAATACCATTAACCAAAGGTCGGTCGGTCGCACATCTCCCTTTTTTATATCCCTCTCGGCGACTAGTCCTCCGGCTCGAAAGGTACCAGTTGTAAAAAAAAAAAAAAAAAAAAAAAAAAAAAAAAAAAAGCCACTGCCCGGAGGCTGTGTGCAACAGTGCGGGGGGATCAACATTTTGGCAAGATTATTGGCAAGGGGTTGATTTGAAGCCAAGATTTAATTGGGAAATTAAGCGGTCGGAATAAATTTCTCTCTCAATGGATGCAGTCTGTACCAGCCATCTCTATGTAAAAACTTGTTGAAAACACAGGTGGCGCATGAGTTGCCCTTGTTCCACGATTAGCCGGCAGTTAACAATAGAGGAGAAAGGGGTAGATGTGGTTACAGAATAACTAACCGAGAAATAACCCAACGATCTAACCACTTGAAAGTCATCTTCCTCAACGTCAATCACAGGTTGAGCCGCAATCCCCTCGACCTTTACAACCATCGATTCCGCTCATATTGGTAGCTTTGATAGTTACCCACCAACTTCCTCTGGCAATCACATATAGGTGAATAAAACAGGGCAATTCCGCCATTCTAGAGGTCCTCGGTTGAGAATTTAAGAAGGCAACTTCAGCACATACATAAACGGTTCCAAAGGGTGTAAAATTTCGAACTGACCTAATCAACCCGACTATTGACCCAACATATTAATTAATTATTCGATGGTTATTACCTCCTTAGCGTCTGAAAGATTATTCTTCTCATCATAGCAAAAGTCCAATAAGCAGCGCAGTCAGTCATTCGCAGCGTTCTTAAAATCTTTGTTACGACAATGACCTTGAGCTGTAATGCCCCTGGCTCAGTGGATGTAACAAAACGGCAGACGATTTACCATGTATAGTTATAAGCCCGAGCCCGAGTGGGAAGCGCTGTTAAAGCCTCATGCGATTGAATAGTGGGGAATATTGTTTAGACGAGGTGGCAGTCTTGAAGCTGGAAACCACCCATCCCGCTGGAATATCTAGCCATGATATACAGGACTCCGGGCAAAACCATGTATCCGCGTCGTTTGTCTGTCCATTCGTCCGCCCTGTTTTGATTTATGGAAGCGCAAAGAGTTAAACCCCAGTTGTTCAACGCCATCCAGTATGTTCAAAAGAATCAATCGGGTCTTCACAGTGTCAGTTCCATTTGCTTTCCAAGGATAACCCAAAAACTTGATCTCAACTGGGGATTCGAGAACCTGTGTACACTGAGATTTATCACTCAAGGTATTAACGAGCGCCCTGGGATACGGACTTGGACCAGTTACTCCAGGGAGGTGGCGGCTGTTGAAACCTGAAGAGTAGAGTTTCTCGACTCGACAGCCAGATAAGTAGGGGATATATATAAAACATGCTGACTTGCATAGTATCCGTGGAAGTTTTTGTTTTGTTTTTTTTTTTTTTTTTTTTTTTTTTTTTTTTTTTTTTTATTTTTCTTTCTAATTTTATTTTCATTTTTGTAAGAGAGAGAGTGTGTGCGCGTGTGTGTGCAAAGCAAGAACCAGTTTTCTCCTCTTCGAACCAGGCCGATGGAGCCCAAGGGTTGCTGCGTCGTCTAATGTCATCTGAGGCACTCTTGGCTAGTTAGCACAGCAAGAGAGGGATTAACTAATAGGTACTGTCTATCCCTATTAGCACCTATGTATATATGTACTAGGTAACCGGTTCACCACTGGAAACCGCCGCAGTTCGTTGTCAAGCCTCTTGGTGACTCGGCCATCGAAAAAGAAAAAAGAAAAAGAAAAAGTTCCGTGCTAATTTCCCTAAAGAAGAAGATGAAAGGATGAAAGATAAGAACCAGCCATTCAAATTCATGAAACAATGTTGAAATGACATAAGCCGTTTTGCCATCACATCTTCAAGTTATTAGAGAGGGGGGCCTCGGGGCCAGGCCGTAGTCAGATCTCACAACTATCAATCCACGATGGACCCGTAGATAGTTACCTATTCGTCCAAGATTAAGATGCATTTCATCGATGTGCAAGTTTTTTCAGCTTTGACTCTTTATCATTATCATTCTCTCAGTATCAATCATCCTCTGCATACTATGTAACTAATCGTATATACTCATGATTACGTTGAGGAGAAGGACCTCACTGTTTTGAGTTTCTTCTTGTTTTAAGTTTTACATGGATCTGAGTTCAATCTTTGAGAGGTATGAAATTGCTCACCTGATCTTTGTGTTGAAATTGAAATCTATATACACTAGTAGTATCTATTGGTAAAGTTTGGATGAACCCAGGAATTAATTAATAGTTCTGTAGATATAACTAGTTATAGTTATATAACTATATTTCATTTACACTAAATATCTTTACAACTTTATACAATAGTTAAGGTACAATGCATTACTACACTTCATAAAAGCAAAACCATATCTACCGTGCAAGTTAGTTAACTTTAAATTTACATTTTAACTCTCAAGTTATTCCGACTTTAGGTTCCTGGTCATTTGTTGAAACATTATGTCAACAACTGAACCACCGTCATAATATCAGCAATGAAGTGTGGGACGTGACGCCAAGTCAACATCAACCGGGGAAGAACCGTGAGATCAGATCTGCACCAAAGGCACACGGCTCATTATTGAGGCATTGGCTCATTGGCCCATTGGCGACCAGAGGCATCCTTGAGCAGCTTATGGAGTATTTTCTCTAGTTTTTGGCATTATTGACTTAGCTGAGCGAATAAGTTATCAAAACTAATAAGCACACAGCGGATACCTTTTGCAATTCTTTTTGCCACGCGGCTCCAATCAATATAACAATCAATCAATATTCCGTACAGCATCGTTAACTTCATGACAAAGGCTGCTGGCAATGAGAAGTCATCACTGAGAAATCTGAGAGAGTCAAAGGGGGCGGGGGGGGGGGGGGGGGGGGGAAAGGAGGCACCATCCATCTGTTTATCCCCCCATTCCCTCTCAATTGCCTATTTTCCCTGCCCCCGTTATGTAATCCATAATGACATCTTCTCAGGGTTTGAATTTATTTGAATCCTTTCACAAATGACCATTGAAGGTGAAAATAAAATTGTTTTATCTGTACTGGGTTACACTCAAACCATCCATAAATCCCATCCATAGATAGTTAAAATTTGGGTCTCAATAAGAAATAAAAGCCCTGCTCCGCGACTCCAGCAATTCCCTCGGTCTACTCTGAGCCGATGATTTACCGTTTATGATCGAATCTCGCCGCGGTCCAATCATCGGCTGCGATCCACGGTGCCTGGTAGCCAATTGAGTTTGATATTCCAAAAGGCCCGCGAAGTCAAAAAATTTGCACCTTTTTGATCTCATGCATGGATCCCATCTATGGATCCTGTTGGAAACAGTGCAGGCACATGTACAAACGCTCCCCTAACGAATTACACTGCTTGATGTCATTGACTGCCATGATTTTGCCGAAGTTTACTTACCAGGCATGGTCTGCGGGAATCCAGGGCCCGGTCGAGCACGTAAAATTAAAGATTCTCTCAAGCTGTGACAGAGAGCCGTCATAGATGCTCCTCCGTCCGTCGCAAATCGAGGGAGTTGGATTGCCAAAAGTCCCTCAGGGCCTCGTCTCTCACTGCGGAGTTGCTGAAAAGAACAAGAACATTAATAATGGGGGGACAAAAAATGTCATCTCTTCCCCCCTCTCCAATGGGGTCCGATTTCTCGGGGGGTACACCAATCAATTTCTCTCCACCTCGCCACGATTCCCATGAAGATCACCCCTGACGAAAGAAGAATAATAAGTTTAAGCTACTTGTCGGCTTTTACTCTGTGAGACCTGTGATCTCTGTGATTGCACACACCTTGCAGCTTGATTTGAACCAATCCATATATGACTGCTGGCAGTAGTGGTCGTGCAGCTCAAAATTCCATATTATTACCCCATCCCCCCCCCCCTTGTTTTCTCCCTCGATCTCTTCGCCCTCATTTTTCATCCCTTTTCCCCAAGCCCAAGATCTTATCATTCAAAACTTGCCGGGGTGTATCCTTCACTTTCTCTCCTTCCATCGCATCACACATTCCCAGCATTTATATCCACGCAATATTTAAGAAAGAATAAGGATGAAAGTCACCGCCCTGTTCGCCGTGGGTGTCTTTGCCGCCTTTGGTGCTGCACAGGACTTGAGCAGCCTGTCAGAATGTGGTGTACGTTTACAAACCCTCCCCCTCTCTTCCGCCAGCTCCACGCTCGCTTTACACTTTGTTTTCGGCCTGTTAACATTAAGAACTGGGTATCGCTTTATTAGCGCACATGCATCCAAGACATGCTCGGCCTTGCTCCATCACTTGGTTGCAAAGCTGATGACATACCTTGTCTTTGCCAAAACACGGACTTTGGCAATGGTGTACGCGACTGCACCGTAGAAGCCTGTGGCGAGCAAGACCTTCCGCCGATCTTGGAATTTGCCAAGAAATTTTGCTCCGGAGGTTCTCCAAGCGGTTCCCCAGATGCGACAGAGACGACAGATGCTGAGCGCACCGCTTCATCAACTGGCTCACTCAAAACGGCCACAGGCGAAAACCGCGTTTCCACAACGGTAGGGGTTTTTTTTCTTTTCTTCTTCTTCTCCTTTCTCCCGGAGTGTGTTCCCGGCATTGCATAATTCCAAATCCGCTAATCGAGTCGTCCCACAATATATTAGATTGGCTCTAGCATCACTACTTCTTACCCTTACACCACTCAGGCCATTGTATCAACGATAACCTCCGGCACTCAAGTCATCACTATCACTGACGGCATCACCACTCTCTATTCCAGCGGCTCTGAAGCACCTAGAACAACAGACACCACTTCCCGACCGACAGGATCAACGTCTCCAACTGATGAACCTAAGACTACCACTGGTAGTGAGACTACTGGCGCTAACCAAAGCATCAGTTCCAATGCCAGCCCAAGCTCAACCAGGAGCAACAATGGTGCCCTCCCTACATTAGCCCCCGCCAGCCCAGGAGTCATTGGAGCGCTCGGTGTCATTGCTGTTCTGGTGTTGTAAAACTCGATGCTGGGTAGATTTCAATTTCCATTCGGTGATGCTCTTAACTACATATCGGATCGAAGAGATGAAATGATGGGAAACGGGTATTTTTGGTACCACGTGTTGATAGCTTCAGTTCTGTTCCGCCTTAGCGGGTCGAGCCATTCAGGCTCTTTTAACCCTTTTAGAGCCGATGTTCAGCGGAGATATATGCGCGATTCTCCTCTTGGGATGATTGGTGTTTGTTAACACAAGGTCCTCCTTGGATACGCAGCGGGTGAGGAAGTTGCTGTAATCATGCTCTTAAACACTTAATAATATGACCTATTCAATCGGGAGTGCCATTCGAAAGCGTCCTTAAACTTTCCTTGGAAAGAGAACGAAGCCCTCGTATTTTTGGATAAGTGCATGAAAATATCGCGCCTCAATACGCTGCCTTTCTCTTCTCAGGATAGGCCCCTACGTCTTCACAACAGACGAAGAGGAAAAACTAGATCGCGCCGAGATTGTCCAGTAACTGTCTTCCATACTCCTGTGAAACTTGGGCGTCCTTTGCTGTTGGACGCGGTTCATACATCAAGCCACTGAACGTAGTTAGGAAGATCCTACTCCTTCCAACCTTCTGTGGGCTTTATTCAAAACTTTTAAATTGCAAGAACAAGCACAATTCAGTTCTGTTTGTGAAAGATGGTGCCCAAATACACAAACCGACTGGGGCTGAATCTTTTATCCCATCGGTCGGTACTACGGCTACCATATTCACGTGCCTCCCTCTGTTGCGCAGAGCTCGGCTGGCTTGATCAAAAATATACGCAATAATATTATTAACTCCAAGATATCCCTATTCGAAGAAATAATTCAACGACTGGTCAACATCAAATACAGTCGAAGACTACATACATAACCCATGGCAGCAATCTCGGCGATATCTGTGAGAGAAGCACAAACAAACGGAAACGGAATATGATGGCTTACTTGAACGGCCTAGTTTAGACTTTATAGGGGAGAGCAACATGCATCCAGTCCCAGCACAAACAAAATTCGCAGTGCAATTTTTTTTAAAAAAAAAAATAAAATAAAATAAAATAAAATAAAATAAGATAAGATAAAATATAAAGGGGAAACTTCGCTAGAGGGAAACAAGTGAAACGAAAAAGTAAAGACGAAGAGGTTTGGTTGTTAACGGAGAGGACCACAGATGATACACAAGTAATCCCCCTCAGGCTGAACACCGAGAAGAAAACATCATCCTGTATCACAGAGAACGGCGAATCCCTGTAGTTACGCAAAATCGCAGGAAGGCAGGTACCAGGAAAAATGTTTATGAAATATGTGGCAAGAAAACGAAACAAAAATGGAGAACGTCTGCCTGTCAACTACTCCTCTCCCAAGCTCTCCCTCACGCACTTCCTTACCCGCCGTTTGAATTCCTTAGGATCTTCACGCCACAGTCTTGCAGCCTCCACATTCGCAGGGCTTTCATCGTTAGGGCTCGAGAGCATGCTAATGACGCTTAGCAGTATTGTTTCAGGAGTTTGAACAGGTGACCAGCGCTCAGCAGCAGATTCGTAACCGTATTTGTCGTCTTCTGGGGGGTGGAGGATTGATATGCAGACTTCGCCATTGGGGTAGACTAGAATTCATAATTGTCAGACAGGCATTGGGGGAAAACATAACTATTAAAAAAAAGAGAGGGAGAGGGTGGGAAAAGAAGAGGAGGGAGATATGTGTGAAAAAGAAGAAAGGCAACGAAGGATACATACTGTTCGGGTGGAATATCGGGGTTTCGAATTTCATCTTCGGCGGCAAGTGAGGATACTCCGGAGGGAACGATAATCGAGCACAGAAAAAACCGCCTAAAAATCAAACAGGGATGCAGTTAGCCAGTGGGAATATGGATTAGCTGCCGGACCAAGTCGGGCAAATCTCGTTTTTTTTTTTTTTTTTTTTAATTGTGTCGAGCCCTTTTTTAGACCCAAGGGGAGGTAGAAAGTATATGGAAGTAAATAGTTAAAGATCTCTGGTCTGCTCTGCGCTGATCTTCTGAGAAATCTGATCCAACATACCTCCATAGAACTTGCACTCATCCGAGATCATGAGCATGACCTCCCATTCAAATATGTTATCATTTGCCAGTCCGCAGCTAATACCCGGGATGTCCTTATCTGTTTGCATCTGCTTTAATTGGCGGCTTAACAACCCTGCCGCTGCAGAAGTCGCCATGTTGCCGTTGTTGTAGGTGGTGGATGAGAGAGGGAAAACTCAGAAACAGGGGAGGAGATCGCGTAGCTGATCCTAAGGCCTTCGCGGGCTGTAATAATTCTACTTGGAAGAGGCCCTGGGCCCTGGTGCGCTGGTACGGGAGAAATATGGGAGGATGCAGGAAAAATTGATGGAGGGGGGAGTCCACGTTGAATCGTCTATGTTCACAAGCGCGGGTAGTTGACTATTAACTAATACTCCGTAACTATCGGGAGGGGGATAATTTTTAGGTCAAGTACTCATTGTACCAGTAACGTGCTTTATGTGGGTATGTATGCAGTAGTCAATGTATGTAGATATGCACAAATAGTATGTACATACAGGGCATCAAAATGGGCATGGTTAACTAACTAGGTAGTTGGGTTGAGTTGTTCCGCGTTGAAGTGCGGTTTTGAAGCTGTTTTCTAAATCCGATTTGAACGTTCACAGAACCAAGGAACACATCACCATCACGTGGAGTAGTGTCGCAAAAGGTGGCCCAAGAGCGTTACTTAATCAGGGAATGAGGCCATTTGAAGGTAATAGAAGCCCTGCTAACAATCCATGGATTCATGGATATTAATAGCAGACTTTTCGGAGGAGGATGAACCTAGCATCACAATAAAATCGTTTTCAGGGTGGGCAGCTTTTAGGCTAAGCTAGAAGGTAGTTATATATACAACATAGATGCAAACACGCAGAAAATGTAATACAGACATAGACATAGATATAAATACAAAAAAGATAACTTAATACAAGCCAAAATTGTCGGAGCAAAAGAAGTGAGAGGCAAGAAAAACAACGTCAACGAAGATTCAAATAGGATAACCCCTTGACGACGCGGAGGAGATCGAGATCATTGAGTTATTAATAAGCAAAAAAAAGAAAGAAGAAAAAAACGAAAAAACAAAGAGAGAGGCGGGGGAAAGAAGGAATGATGAAGACAAGAAAGACAACTTCCAACTTGATAGAAAAGAAGTTTCAGTGCCTCAATCAATAGAGATGTGAAGAATTGCTTAATCATAATCACCCAGTAGAGATATACCGCGGCTTGGTAAATGCGTACTCCAATTCTTATACCTTGACAATCAATTTGTCGCCAAAGAGCATGACCTCACCAGCGAGGAATACAGCGCAAGTCAAGGCAACGGCTGTAAGCATGGCGAAGGTCTTAGCCAAAACCTTGAGGAGACGGATGCGGGAAGGCCAGGTGAAGGTTCTCCAGGCATCCAGCAAACCAATCTTGCCGCTACCACCCAGGATAACCGGTTGGACCTTTCCGCCAAAGGTGCGATCGAACGGTACAATAGTCTCCTCTTCCTTGGGGAGTAATGACGCTGCAACGCGAATCATTGTCACGGTTGCCGGAATCTCCACAAGGACCACCAGGGCCCACGAGAGAACAAGAACTCCTAGGGCGATGAGAATGTCAGAGTTGGGGTTGTATTCTGGGTCCGAGAATGACGAGTTGCCCTGGTTCACGGGCCACTGAATAAGCCTGAGTCCAAGCTGTGCTGGCAGGTCCAAGGTGAGCTGTGAAGCAGCCGAGCGGAGAGCAACAGCAGGAGCGATTTTCACCCAGCTGCTGCAGCCTGGAATGCGCCTCCAGAAGGGCCGTTCAGAAGGTTTGGAAACGACAATATGGACCCAGGCAAGCTCAAGAGGAGCAGAGACTACATCGGTGGCAATCAGGATCAGGGACTGAAGAGGATCGGGGTTGCGATGGTGGGAAGAGAGGAAGAGCTTAGCGAGCAAAGTGCGACATATGCCCATGCAGAGGTACACGTTCAACCCACGAAAGCGCGACCAGGGACCGGCACGGGCGCGGAGGTGAAGGATAGCGGTACGTAGACTGCGGGTGATAGGACCTGGCGGGGAGAAAGCGGTGGTATCAAGGGAAGAAGAAGTATTATTTATGGGTGATTTAGACGAGGAATCGGGGATGGTAATAGGGGTATAAATATCAGGGTGCGGATCTTCCACCACAGTCAACATTGCAACCACCATGCCGTAGGTGTATTGGAACTGTTACATGGAGATGGAAGGAAAGAGTAGAATCAGCAGGAATTGTCATTGTATAAAAATCTTGTCTTGAAGGTTGTCGATGATGGATGGGATTTTGTTCTATGGTGGTTGAAGCGTTAAGGAGTAAGATAGTTACATATAAAGACACATACAGCAAAAGCAACCAGGCCAAACACAATGGTGGTGACAATGAACACCAGCAATGCCCAAGCTGACAGGCGACGAGCCCCTCCATGGCCGTTGTCATTTGGAGAATCCAGATTGAGCGAGGCGGCCTCCAGCCCTCTACGGGCCAGATGTTGGATCAAGGCAAACATGGAAAGACTTGGTAAACTTGATATAAACTTATAAACTTAGAACCCGGGAGAATCGCAAAATGAGGTAGTTATGTAAATGAAATGGAAACAAGGAGAGACACAGGTGAGCAGAGAGAAAACAAATGTAGAAAATAGTAAGATGATAGAGGAGAGGGAAAGAATGAAGATGTCTGAATGAGTTACGGAGCACGCACTGACTGAGATAATTAGAACCACGACGTAAGATAACCACTAATCCCCGGATACAAAGCGTGTTTCATAATACCCCGCCGAACCAGGATTTAAAGAGCTATAATATAAATAGAAGGCGGGCAGACTAGAGGGAACTAATTAACTTAACTAGTTAACTATAACTAACTAGTTAGTTGAATATTAGTTAATAAGCAGTAACTCTTTAAGATTTAATTTAGTTGACTATTTTGCCAGATATGAGGGTCTTTGCAGATATATGTAGAAGCAGTATGAGATACATAAACAAACACACATCTGTTCTCTAACTTCCTAATATGAAAGAAGACTTCGGTGAAACAGTATAACTGTCTAGAGATGTGGTAATCTTCAGGTTGTCACGGTCATTTACTTATTGAAACATGATCGATACAAGATCTGTAAGAACAAAACTGTGTTGAGGATTGTACTCTCTCTTATGTCGGTTGATCTGACTGATGATACTTCTTTTGAATTCCGAGAAATGAGTTGATTGCAAATACTGCTCTTCTTTATTTTCATGACTACTTGACATTTTTGATATGTGATAGATCCTGCCTGTTAATAATTTTATCGCCAAATAGCAGTCATAGGTATCTAACTTGAAATTATCAATTTCACAAACGGATTTGAAAATGAGCCTGCTGAATGTAACGGACGTGCTGCCGAATACGGCCCTAGCACTTCCATATTGAACAAAAAGACGAATTCGCTAGAAGGAGAAAAGAAAAGAAGAGAAGAGCGAATAAAAGCTATGAAGGTAGATACAGGTCAGGCCGGTAGAAGGATTATCGGGGCTCAGAGTTTTGGGTTCGAAAGGTTATCCTATACCCAGGCGTTAGCCTATTACACTGAAATCTGATCAGGTAACTATTTGACAAGCAATAGTTAACTAGTTAGTTATGAAACATAACTACATGATCGGCCTCCTTACACCCGTGACTGTATAACCCGAATCATCCGATTGCAACGCCTCTGCCCAAGGTTACGCTCCTAATCCTGCTCGTATTGCTATACTTATAAATAAAGCCTTGATTTTATTTCTCTTTTTCTTTGATTCTGACCTTTCTATAGAAGAAGATGGATAATTCTTTTTGCCTATAGCAGTTTGTTATCGATCAATGAATTAATTGCATAAGCTGAATGAATTTTTTTTTTTTTTTTTTTTATCATGGGAAACTTAAGTTAGTTATAAGCTCAGCCTGACTTGCATAAAGATTACACATAAGATTTACAAACATGATGGAAGTGAACAACTAGTTTAACTAATAGTTAATTGAAATCTATTATTAAGCTTCATTCTATTTTGATGAATATTCAATAATCGTGAAAAATAGCTCATATCAAATGACTACAATAAATGAAAAAGAAATCAACATCGTCATGATCATAAGCTCTCGCCAAGACATCTTCTTGGCACCGCCCGCTGCCTTCCACGTCATAGAAACTATCTCTACCTCTTCAAGGATATACATATTACCCCGCCTTTATACGAGATGATCGAACAGGATCATCCCTGCGGAAGGATATGGGAATTACGCCACTGGCAAGGCATCTTCCCCCCCCCCCCCCCCCTAATCGGATAGAGCGGCATCTTAGCGTTTCATCAAGAAGGGGAGACTGGTAGAAATCCTATATAGATAGTTATCTCACCCACTGTTCAGAGGGTCAGCGATTCGTTCTCACTCTTATCAGATCTACTTGGAAAACGCATACAAATCCCTATATTACCACTTGTATCCTTGATTTCTAGTTATCTCTTCTGTTCATAGGCATAGCTCGCCTGCTTCCTTATCTAGTCAAGCCTACCCATCCGGCTTCCCATAAACCAATCCTACGCGGCGACACTGTTGACTCTCTTGTCTCGGCGCCGTCTCGCTACAGTTCGAATCGCTCAACCTGACTGCTGAAGAATCAGTCAAGCTCAGACGACATGTCACATCCTGAAGATGGTCCTGAAACCCAACCTGCCGCTGGGGCGTCCTATACCCAGCAGCCGTCATACACCTGAACCTCACCTCTCAGGAACCATGAGGTTCCTGTACCGACCAGGCATTTTGGCATGAGGGAACCCTATGTCTATGATGGAGAAAAGGAGATAAATATCAGAGATCCGCAGCCATTCCAGGGCAAAAACTTGACTGAATATCACACTTTCTATCGAGCCCTCGAGCGGAAGTTCCGTCTTAACCCAACCCAATTTAGCACCCATGAAGTTCGAGTCTTATATGCTGTTAGCCTCCTTGTACCTACCCCCGTGACCACCTAGATGACCAAAGAGAAAGAATTAGAGCGTACGAAGGCGACTTCGACATGGGAAGAATGCAAAACCTTCCTCCTGAATCAAACTGAAGATCACCGCAATCATGGCTTTACAGCAGCAGAACGGTTCAATTCTTTCCTCCAAAAGGAGGATGAATCTGCTGCCGACTTCAATGCAAGATTCGAGGAATACTGGGAGGAATTGCCAGCTGATAAGGATCAGCTGAAGACCCAGCTTTACTTTGCTAAAAATTGCTCTCAAGGGTAAGGGCTACAATTTATCAATACCAAAGCCCCCCCAACCAATCGAACCGAACTTGTCAATCTGGCTGCTCGTATCCTCCACCAAAGGGAAACAGAAGATAGAAAAGGTTCGAAGAAAGAAACTACCTTCAACAAAAAACAACAGGAAAACGGCGCCATGGCGGCACCCAGACATCTGATAACAAGCCTCATTCAAGGAGTGATTTCTCTGTCACCACTGAAGAATGGAAGAAAAGAGGGACAGAACGCTTGTGCTATACCTGTGGACAGAGTGGGCACTTCACAGGCATGTGCTCCAAGGGCAAGAAGGGTATGAATAAGAGTAGTACTCCTTCAAAAGAACACCACTTTGCTTGCCAATGTGTCAACCAAGGACCAAGAGGAAGGTTGACAATTCGAACGTCTCCGAGTTCATGTCACAATAGAACTTTCTACGCCTAGTGGGCCGCAGAAGGTGCGGTGCCTAGTAGAGTCTGGGGCGGATGCTAATTTCATATCCCACTCCTATGCATTACTGCGAGAGTGGAAGAAGATAGGTCCCCCTAGTAGGGCAAGATTCCCTGATGGAACGATGTGTCATTGCTTTGATACTATACAGGCAAGATACGTTGCCACTGATTCAGAAGGGACTTACTAAAGTTGTGATTTGTTACTTAACACTGTTAATATGGTGGATGAGGACCTCATCCTGGGACTTCCGTGGTTACGGGATCATCCCCTATCATCATCGACTGGGTCACTCCAGGCATGGCGGTACCGGCTCACCGACGCGCAAGTCACTATCGAAACCCCTGAGGAATTCCATAGGTGTAACAGAGTTGAAGGCTATAATTATTATTCTATATGACTGCGGACTTGAGGATAGGTGTCATCATGGCAGCACCACAGTTGACAACTCTCTCTGTTGAAAGGAATGGATGGATTGAGAGGCTGCTGGCCAACTATACTGATGTCTTCTCAGAACAAGAGGCATCAAAGTTACCGGACACGAGGCATGAGATACACCTAGTTGAAGGTGCTACAGCACCATATGGATCCCTTTATAACCTGTCAGTAAAAGAGTTGGATGTTCTCCACAAATATCTTGAAGAGATGCAGTCAAAGAATTGGATACACACAACAACAAGTCCTGCTGAGGCACCCATTCTCTTCGTACCTAAGAAGAATGGAAGTCTATAGCTTTGTGTAGACTACAGAGGACTCAACAAAGTGACAGTTAAGAATCATTATTCTCTACTCTTAATTGACGAGATGATTGATTGATTTGGCGGAGCGAAGGTGTTCTCCAAGATTGACCTTAGAGATGCCTATCATAGGATTCGCATCAATAAAGGTGATGAATGGAAGACAGCCTTCCGAACCAAATACGGCAACTTTGAGTCTCTGGTTATGCCATTCGGTCTTCGCAATGCCCCTGCCACCATCCAGGCCTATATTAATGAGGCCTTGTCGAACATACCATGTGTAGTATACCTGGATGAAATACTTATATTCTCTCAAGATGAAGAACAACGTGACAAGAGTGTTTGAGAAGTTATGGACAGACTATTGAAGCTATAGTATGCCAAAGAGTCCAAATGCTTATTCTTGCCCAAGAATTACAGTTTCTTGGTTATATTGTCGGGGTAGCCGCCATATCGATGGATTGGAGCCAGGTCACCACCATAGAGGAGTGGCCAGAGCTGCGAACATTTAGAGATGTTCAAGAATTCCTAGAATTCGCAAAGAACTTGTTAAGTGGGAAGATTATTCAACATCGGAGAACTCGTGAGAACCACTGCAGCATTTGAAAAATGCTGAGGAGGAGATCAACAGATATGAGGCAGTAATAAAGACCGCCCTGTTGCACATCAAAGATGTAGAGATGCCTACCATTGAGAGCACTTCCTTTTCCCCACTGTTTTATTTTTATTTTTATTTTTATTTTTTTGTTTTGTTTTTGGAGGTGTCTTCATGGTAGCTCCCTGAAGCTTTGTGGCAAGCATGACGCTCTTCTCCTGTTTTGCCCTAGAAGGTTTTAAGGAGTTTAATGAGGTTATGCAGTGCAAAGAAAGTGAAGTAAGGAATATTCCACCAGAATAACCCCTGAAGTGGAACAAAAATCGCAATGTTATTGGGCAAAGGCCTACAGGTAAAAACTATCAATGCCAAAAGTGCCTGCAAGCGAGACATCCTCTGTGCCCAAGGATCTTATCTTTCACCACCTCTTCCCCCCCAAACTCTTTTTTGACATTGGGGACAGAGGGCATGGGCACCTTCGACTACAAAGACTTAGCAACACGACACTGAAACAGTTGGTATATAACTTACCAGCTGACAAAGAACCTGAGTCATCTGTTCTAGCTGAAGAGAAATCTTCTTCAGAAGTCGCACAGTCTCTGTGGTATTTCCAGAGACAGTGCCAGTCGCCCCCTTCTTAAGAGTGGTTATCCGCAGATGTTTTTCCACCTCAGAGACCCACTTTAGAGCTTCTTTTTGAAGCTGAGCTAAGGATCTCCCCAGCACTGACAGAGTCCGCCAACACCTAGAGGTCTGAGAGCCTGGCCCTATCCTGAATTGGCACCTATCCAGAACAGTATCGCTACGGTATGTTCTGGAGGAAAGACATACAGGAGGACATGAGTCTTTGTTTTTCGCGCAGTGAAAACAGCGTGAATTTTGACTGGGACGACTGCAGAAGATTCCTCCATTTTTGAGCTGTTTGGAACAGCGGAGGCAGCAAGATGTGCCACTGAGACTTTGGGAAGGCACCTCCTCAACAATCTCCTGCACTGTTGCTCTCTCCAGAGAGGAAATAGACACTGCTCCGGAGCCCTCAAGAACCACTGTGCTCAAAGCGCGAGGAGGTTATGGGACTGGGAAAGATGTGGGTGCAGGAGGGATGACTGTCGCAGCCTCAGGCACAGGTGATGATTTGATGACAGCCTCATGGCTCGCCATCTCCTCTAACCTGGCCTTTTGGGCTGCAACAGATGTAGCAGCTGCTCATATTATTTACGTCTAGAAGCACTGCTCCAACATTAATATCTCACTCTCTTTGCTTGATAAATGAAGCAGAGAAGGCAAGAAGAAAGAATAGTACTTGGAGTCTTCTATTCAACTTCTTGAGAAGGCTGTATTGTGTCCATTAGCACTGTCATGCCTCTATATTGAGAGATATAGGAGCTAGACTAACCTGGCAGAAGATAAGGAGTTTGATTGATGGAAGAAGAATCTATCCGGGTGGTGAGATTCATGATATAAATTCTTTGTTTACACCACAATAGGTATGAACGGTTGCTGCATAACAAAGACCATTACCCAATTAGGAAGTTCTGAGGGCATCAAGGACGAAGCCCTAAATGGGAATTGTTGTGATCACGGGATCTTGCCAGGGACATCTTCTTGGCACCGCTGCCTCTTACGTCATAGAAACTATCTCTCTGCCGCGCCGCCTCTACTCTACATCTAAGGATAATATTCTCTCGCCTTTATACGAAATGACCGTGCAAGGATCATCACTGTGGAAGGATATGGGAATTACGTCACTGGCAACGCCTGGAAGGCACCTCCACCTCTAATCGGATGGAGCGACATCTTATCATATTCATGATGAAGAAGGGGAGTCTGATAGAAATCCTATATAGATAGTTATCTGACCCACTGTTCAGAGGGTCAGCGATTCGTTCTCAATCTATCAGAGTTACTGGAAAACGCATGCAAATCTCTGTATAACCACCTGTATCTTTGATTTCTAGTTACCTCTTCTGTTCGTAGGCATAAGCTCGCCTGCTTCCTTATCTAGTTAAGCCTACCCATCCGGCTTCCCATCAACTAATCCTACGCGGCGACGCAGTTGGCTCCGCGACTCGGCGCCGTCTCGTTACAATAAGATAGTCTCTTATATCTTTCAACTATACATACTTAGATCCATAAAAAAAAAACCCCGAAAAAAGAGAGCAGACAAAAATAAAAAAGTCAATTAACAAAAGAAAACAGAATAACAGTGTAAGGGGCTGCGCCCTTCCTTTCCAGTTACTCAGGCTCCGCCTTCGTATAACCCTCCGTCATTCTTGTATAGCTTCTCCTTTATCACCGAAGCTCCGACTCTTCAGTCTTCCTTCATATAAGCCTCCGCCACCCTCCTATAACTTTTCCTTTTATTATCAAGGCTCTGTCTTGATATGATCTCTCTTCTTGTCTAACGATTCCTTCTTGTTGTTCATACGTGTGTAATTATCAACTGTTTTCAGTATCTAGCCCGTTACAAATAGTCTTATCAAAGTTAAATTTAAATTTATTTTTATTTATAGTAATTGTAATAGTTTACAAGTAGTAAATTTACTATCTTTTATATAGTTACTGCCATGGCTCAACTAGAGTCTGGATGATAACAAGACAACAGCTTCAATTCATCTATCTAACTAGGCACCTGCGACGAGAATACTAAACTGGGGATTAGAATGTGGAATGAACGAGCAGCCGAATATAAAGAGGTAGAGCGGATCAACCTTTCGGAGCAGAGCGGGTCAACCTTAATCCATATTACAAGCAGCTACGCCGTAACAGTTACAACTTGAAGAAACTGTCCTCTCTTATTTTAAAATCGAACTTATTAGACTAGAGTTTTTTTTTTTTTCTATACAGATTAACTTACTATTAGAAGCTGATTATTTAAAATATACTTTAACTCTCTCAATTTGATCATATAAGATAAAGTGTATAATATTATATACTTTGCAGCAGCAGTTTTTATTTGAGAAATTTGATATAAAGACAGCTAAAAGAAATTCCTTATTTAGAAGCTTGATGACGGTGATGAGAAGATATTTGATTACATTAACTTAATCAACTCAGAGCTTACTAGAGAGCATCCTCGAGTTAATGTTAGTAACTAAATAGTTAAGTTATTAAAATTAATTTGACATGACAAGTATAACTCATATCACAGATAGAAATATCACACTTTTAAAATGCATATGCACCTCAGTTTAGACCTTCTATCAGATGTGGATTCAAAAGTTGACTCATAAACCCTAAAATGGAATCTGCCTTTTAATAGTACAATGTACATCAGCTAACTGAGCATAGTTAAACCGATCCAATGTAAAACAATATTATTACATTCTCGGATTTTCAGATTTTGAAAATATCTCCCTGTTTACACAAATCCCCTCTCAAGACATCGAAGCGCAACTTTTCAAAGAAAAATCCGGCATGTCCATTTCCTGAGGAGAGAGTCAAAAGGGCATTTGAGGTCCAGCCGAACGGGTTGTGAGTAAGCGTGGTCTTTGATCAATCAGCAAATAAGGGACCTATTGGAGGGCGACAAGCTCAGGTCTAATTCTGCCATCCCTTCGTCCGGACAGTCAAGGGTCCAAACTTACACACTAAATACATTTTCTGCAGGCATAGCACATTAAAAATATAGGAGTAACTAACTATGATCCATATCTCTCTCCCATTCTCTTTCCCCCATCCCCCTCACTGTATGTGTGTGCGTATTTGTATGTTGCCCTCACCCTCTGGTCTGATCTTATCTCTGCTCGATCTTATCTCACCGCCTTCCTCCGCATAGCCTCCGGGTATTCAATTGTTCCGTATTCCGAGCCGAGGTTCCCATCCCGCATCTTTTTTTTTATTAGTTATCTCATATCTCTGTGTCCCGCCGCATTTTCTCTCTCCTCCTCTCTCCCCTCTGCACTCGCTGTGTTATAGCTTACCTTGCGTGTTCTGTTTACTTGCCTTTTTTTTTTTTTTTTTTTTGCTTTCTCACTTTCTTTTTTCGTTTGCTGGTTTAGCTGTGTTGGCTGTGCCTTCAATCGCTTTGCCTACGTTTTGTCCTCCTCCTTGGTGGACCTTCCAACCTGCCATCCCTCGACGCGACATGCCTTCCTCTACATCCACCATCTCTACTCCAGTCCCCACTGAGTTAGAGTCACCAAAACAAGCCTCCGCCGCTCCCAATGCTACCGTTGCCCATATCAAATCCTTCGTCGCGGGTGGTGTTGGTGGACTGTGTGCCGTGATTGTCGGCCACCCTTTTGATTTGGTCAAAGTCCGGATGCAGACCGCTGAAAAGGGTGTCTACTCGGGCGCTGTTGACGTCGTGAAGAAAACCATTGCCCGGGAAGGCATTGCCAGGGTAAGCCATTATTGTTTATTTATTTTTTATATATATATAGATATATACTTGTTCCACAAAACTCACAGCGACACCGAAAATATAGGGGTTATATGCTGGTGTTTCCGCTCCGCTCGTTGGAGTGACTCCTATGTGTATGATTTGATATCCCTTACCTCTCTCTCCATGGGTTAGTTGCCATCGTCCATTAGCTGACTTTTTGTCTCTGCAGTTGCCGTGAGCTTCTGGGTACGTTCTCATGCATATACATACATACATATATATATATATATATATATATATGCATTCTGTTATCACTTAACCCCTGACATTTCGTCGTCTGCACTCTGACCGCCAATCTCATCCTCTCTCCTCTCCAATGTATACAGGGTTACGATCTTGGGAAAACCCTTGTTCGCAATTTTTCCACCGTCCCCGTTCATAATGGGACTCCCCAGTACTCCATCTCCCAGATATCGGCTGCCGGCTTCTTCTCCGCCATTCCTATGACCCTGATCACCGCTCCTTTCGAGCGTGTCAAGGTCCTCCTTCAGATCCAGGGTCAAAACCCCCCTCCACCTGGCCAAAAACCCAAGTATTCAGGTGGTATTGATGTTGTTCGACAGCTGTACAAAGAGGGTGGTGTCCGCAGCGTATTCCGTGGAAGCGCAATGACCTTGGCTCGTGATGGCCCCGGTTCCGCTGCTTATTTCGCCGCGTACGAGTATATTAAACGAAGCCTCACACCAAAGGATGCCGACGGAAATGTTACCGGTGAATTGTCCCTGCCTGCCGTGATCGCTGCTGGTGGCGCTGCTGGAATTGCCATGTGGATTCCCGTGTTCCCAATCGATACAATCAAATCCAGGTTGCAAAGCGCAGAAGGACGACCTACCATTGGTGGCACCATTCGCGGGGTATATGCAAAGGGCGGACTTAAGGCCTTCTTCCCTGGTTTTGGACCTGCATTGGCTAGAGCTGTACCCGCAAACGCAGCTACATTGTGTGTCCCACTCCCACACCTATCCTTTTGCCATATAATATGTATCTGATTGGCCACCTACATTACGATATGCTAACGAAAATTGCATTCATAAACAGCCTTGGGGTCGAGCTGGCTCACAAAGCCATGGCCAATATGTTCTAATTGTTGTGCCCTGATAAATCAATAATACACTTGGCTTCAGGCACACTGATTTTAAAGACTGTTCTCAACAAGATGATGTGAAAGCCATGATACCCATGTTATAATATATTTCTCTCTATATATATATATATATCCATCTGCAGGATGGATTTCTTTAGTATATATTCCCTTCGATGCTTTCATTTTTCATGCCAGGCATTTGCTTCGAAATGGAGTTTCACTTATATAGATATTTTTTCCCTTGTTTTCTACATGCAGGTATGGATACGGTGCCTGCGTCTCATGATTGGTTATTCTTTCATGTTTTCGATCTCTCTGCATCTCAATAACCATTCCATCCGCTAGCTATAAAGCACGTAGAACGTTGTTATACCTATTTTATTACAATTATATTCATATATTGAGCTTTTTCTGCATATACGTCACTTTAGTAGTTGAGCATAGAGCTTGCCAGTCCGTTTGTTGCATATAGACGTTTCAATTGCCCGGCAAACCTCAAACCAGTAAAATCATGTTTCCCTCTCCCTCCAGAAGAAACAAGGCATACCACCATACCTGATATTTTGATTTGACATTACTCCGGAAACACCACGTAGAAGCAGTCCGCCGACCGCTTCTTGCTTTTCCCTTGAATATGCTCATGTCTCCATCTACTGCATAAACTTTCCACCACAATATATACACGTATCAAACATGCCACAGAGGATGTCAAGCAATTTTTCACTCCGACGCTGAGGCTTAACCCCACCACCTGCAGTGTCCGTTTCCGGTTCAATTGAACTAGGACATTCGATGAGATCGGCGTCCAGAACTTCACCACTACATCCCGAACAGCGTTTGGAGATCGACGGATCTTGGATGGAAAGGAATGTCAAACCACATCGAGCTGGATTCTTGAGAATTAGCATGGGTGAGTTGAATTTTTGCAGAGAGGGGGAGTGTGTTCAGGAGAGAGAATGCAGGAGAAAGAAAACACGGAAGACACACTAAACACATGTCCCTCCGTACATTGGGACTCATCTGGTGAGTACCAGTTAATACCGCTACCACATATATCGCAGAATTCAAACACATCATGGGCTGCCCATGATGCACCTTTGTGGCTTTTAGCGGGTATCACTTTGTCAGTTTCAGGAGCCGCTGTAGGTTCCCCGGAGTGGGGAGAGTTCGACTGGAGCATGTCATATATGCATTTTAGCTCCAGAGACAGACAAAGGTTGAATGATTCGGACAGCCACTCTGCAGTCGATTTCGCAGCTTGTAGCAGATGCGGCTCATCTGAAGGGTCATGATCCGTAATCACGCAGCAGACAGCCGCATATTGGAGCTTTCTTGCCCAAGAATCAGTTAATCGACGCCTGTGGCTCTCATGGAGGATGAAAGCGAGAACATTTGCACGGGCAGCCCTCATGCGATCGGCTGTTAGTTCCGGGGGATTGGCCCAGGGCAGCAAAACGGAGCCCGGTTCGGCTTGGTCCTGGTTCTGTTCCTGGCGCGGTGGTGCGAAAACGATCCTTGAGAGCTCGCGGGCCGTTGTGGTATATTCTACCATATCGCTTGGGTGGACTGTGAAGCATGCTGCAATCCAGCCTCGATAGCTGGCAAGACCCCAGGTTCGGGCAGTGGACATTCCTCCCAGGTCGTGGTCGAGGTCGAAGCGGCTGCAAAATCCTCCTATTTGGCTGGAGAGATATGCACTTTGCGCGTTTTCCACGTCCAAATTACCAGTGACAGTAGTTGGTTGCGTTTCTGCAAATGTGAACTGTATGGAACGGAGGGAGGAAGTAAATTGTACTACATGCAAGGTCGGAATAACAGATTGCGTGTCTGTGGTGGATGTCATTGCTGCCCCAAACGGGTTCTTAGCAAGATAGCCACTTGTGATGTTTATTAGGCGGCATAATACGCACCGGTAATTGGCTCCCATTCTTGAGTGTTGCCTTCTACTCCTACCTCTGGTCTCAGTGCGTCGTAGACTGATATAGCCAATCTGGGTTGCGAAGGACTTCCAGGGTTGCGGTTGCGGGTGAACAAGCCATCGAACGTAATGACAGCGAATCTCCCAAGTGCTCCCACGGCCAGAGACGGTAGAGATTCATTTCCAGCACCCTCCCGCAGTCAGTAAATTAAATTGCAAACTCTCGTATGGGGCAGTGATATGTCAACTTATTTACCTCAATGTCAATCCAATTCAACGGGCCTTGAAAGTTCATATCCTGGATCTGCTCACCCTGAGAAATTGGTATAAATTCGCTTAATTGCATATATAACCTGCCATCAGAACTTCCATCTTCACTCTCTCCTGCAACTTCTCCGCGTTGTGCATTAATCATGAAAACCTTGACCTTAGTCCCATGTAAAATGGCCAGCAGAGATGAGTGTTTTCTAGGATTCTCTTTCTCGTCCAAACTCGGATGCCAGTGGCCCCATTTAATATGGGAAATCATATGCATGGATCCCATGGCGTGGCCCAGAAGAGATTCAGGCAGCACCTGTGGATACACCACAGCCGGTGCAGGTAGCTCATAATGGAAAATAACCTCTACCGACAACGTCCTCTGAATGTCAGATCCACTGAGATCATGTCTGACACTGATCACAGTTATGTCGTTCATATCGTTTGCAACTCCCAGCAGGGCCATGTTGCGTTGGGCGCGCTGCTCATGTCCGAGAACATTTTTATTTTCAAACGGAGGACTCCAGCAAAAGGACCTCACATGTTGTTTCCGCTGTAAAACTCGGCTCTCATCCTCCGCCAACGGGGCAAAGAACTTTCTGAGTGCAGTATTGATAATCGCAGTCCTAATCCACTTTGACTGGCCATCTACCAGCTCCCATAAAGATAACACTAAGTTGCTTGTCAACACTGCGAGGGCATGCCGGCTATACCTAGCCAAACGCTGTGGGGACCAAGACAAGCCGACAACATGGCTAGTAGACTGCTCTTCTCCAATGGAAAAAGTTGTCCCAGGCTGAGGAAAGATCATGGGCCAGTCCTGGTTAGCGAAAATGTTGGCGCGGAACTTGGTCACGGTCCACTGGGATCTTGAAGGTGCTCCTGTTGTTGTCTCGTCCGTCGATGGCTTTGTCTTGACTTGCGGAAGCTAAATTAGGGCGTTAGCACATTATATTCGATAGATAAGTAATAAATAGGCTTTTTGGACTCAATTGGAAGAGGTAGTATCATCCGTATTCAGGTGCCCTTTCGCGAGAACCAGGGTGGTTTGACAGACCAATACTTGGACATATTCTCCCAGCCCAACAGCCAGGTCGCCATCCAGCGACCAGGAAACGCAGTCAAAGCAGGATGGAAAAAGAGTGAGTTCGACGGGATCGAGCATGATGACGGCTAAAGTTGCGTTGTTTGCTGTTGGAGAGTATACCACCAGAACTACCACACTACATAATTCATGTTTTGAAGTTTGGTCAACCAGAGCTTGCGTTGGGATGGAAGACAAAATTTATGAGATGGGTCGCCGCGGGGAATAAAGTAACATCGAAACAACGCTGGACCAATTTTGACGAAATATATGAGTTGCGTAACGAGGCCATCTACGGGCCTCACGGTTTAGCTCCTCCCTTTTGATAAGGTCTTTTACTTAAGCGATAGTTTGAGGGCATTTTCAGTGAGGGCGCTACAATCTTAATGTTACCAGCCAGGTACAGAGCGAAACTGGAGTAATGGCATAAGATTAGGTAAATTAAACTTTTTATCACCAGTTCGTAACTGGACTTGAGACTAGATAATTAAATTCTACTTATTTATCATTTGGAAGGGAATCCAAGTCAAATAGTTTTCCAGCAACCGCATCCCACTCGTCATCCCATCGCCGTTCGCTTTCCTGGAGTGCACCTTGGCGAAGTACAGCTAGTTTCTTACCACCATCGCCAAAGAGATCCAGAAGGTGAGCGAGGAGTTCATCAGGGCTCCCAAATCCAAGGCCATTTATGCCTTCCGTTACCAGTTCTGGCCACGACTCGTATCGACTCCAGCCAACAACCGGGAGCCCAGCTCCAAACATGTCCACAACCTTCATGGGCAAATCAACGCCGCTGGTGCTGGTGTGCAAACACACACCAAGAGACGCACTTGCGAGAAGCTGAGCGTAATCTTGCAAACTTAGCCATGCTGATTTAATTACCACTTTATTAAGTTTGCCTTCGGCCATTAAGTTCGCAATTCTCGAAAGGTACATATCACGCTGCGGTCCCTTGCCGGTTATTATGACTCCCAGCCGTGGCAGGCCATAATTCATTGTGGAGGATCTAGCTGAGTAGCGACATAAAGCATCGATTAAAATCGAGAAATCTTCGTCTGGTGTCCATGAAGTCGAGCTCACGAGAAGGCGACATGCCCCATTCCTCATATCACGGACAAATTCTGATGTCTCTGGGAGAGACGAGAGGAAGGCATACTTTTTATCATCGTTTTGAAAGGGCTGGAAGAGGGCAGGAGGCCGATCATGCAAGACAAGAATGGGTGCTTTTATTTTTAAATCATCGCGTAATTGTCGCGCCATCGCATTACTGACGCAAAAGTTCGCCTTAGAGAGGCGACCAAACGAGGCCTCATGGGACTTATTAATCTTCACCATCGGGTGGCCTTTACCCAGTTTCAATGCCAGGATGGAGTATCCAAAATTATGCCAATCAATGATCAGGCGGCTGTTGCGAAGTTTGCACACAAGGTGTGCAATCACAAGGGTGGGAGCCGCAGGTGGATTCTGAAACGAGGAACTCGATATATATCTCAGCCACCAGAACGAAAGAAAGAATAAAAATATAGGGCAGCAAGCATAAGCATAATAAGGTGGATCCCACTCAGATCCTTAGCAGAAATCTCAGGGGTAAAAAACGGGAATTAACGATCCATGGAAGTGCATTGACGATGACTGACCTGAACTAGCATCCATTGCGCAGGTTTTGACCTATATGCCACAGCAAGCCATAAGCACCATGTCTGATGCAGCAGCTTCAGAGCAGCAAAAACTGGAAAAAGG